TTTTGGCATTTTTACAGATGTTAACAAAAATATCATGATAATTGCAAAATGCTTTTTTTAATATTTTCAACTAAGGTTTTAGAACTTTTAACAGATGTTTTCTATTGCTAGATTTCAGAATAGCTGATGTTATCCATGAATGCTTAGTTACTTTTACTTTTAACCGTGATTGTATATACAAATAAAGGTAGAATAAAACATTTCATATGCTGTGTTCCAATTTTGTTCGGAAAGAACCTCTGCACAATCAATTCTTGCCATATCAGAAATTAAACTTTTAAAGTGGACTCATTATCAATATTATATATAAAGTAGCCATCAGAATTTAGTCTTTAAAGAAAAACCAATCTAAGATCTTCTTTCCTTAGATGTTAGATGTGCTTGACGATAAATTTTGTCGGGGAACAAACAAATAAAAAAAAATATTTACATGTAATATTCGTTTAGCCACCATATCGTTTGTGTTAACTTTTCATCACAACAACAACCACAATAACAATAATAATATATTAATAATAATAATAATTCAATGAGACTAATTAAAAATAATTTGCGTTCTGTTATGACAAATGCTCATTTAGATAGCCTCATGATGGTTGGAATACATCGTGATAGGTGAAGCAACCTCGACCATGACAACGTGGATGACAGATTTCATGCAAAATTTCCAAAATATAGAATTTCACTTTCAAGAATGAGGATTTGAAAATAAATTAGATGGTTACATTGCAACATTAGAAAGCATAGCCTACATGAAGTCATATTATAGTAACTCGATGCCTATCAAATAAGTAATAAAATGTCCGTGGCTTCCAGGGGGCTTCGCCCCCTGGACCCCACCGGGGGCCGTAAGCGCCCCCCTGGCTCCCAGCCAAGTGAGACTCGATTCGCTCCACTAGCCCCCCCCGTCGGGGCCTTTAGCCCCTCCGTCGGGCAGGTCCTGCCGCCACCCCTGGAAGTATAGTCCTATAGTCGGATAGACTATAGTGTGAATAAATGTGAATTTTCTTCAGAAAGCTGTTGACTGGAAACCTTCCTGAATTAATAAGGAAGAAGAATTACTTCTCTTTTGGTTTCACTATTTTCTTGACTTGGATCAGAAGAACAGATTGATTTGCTGTAACAAATACCGGTACCAAGTGCAACCAGACGATTGCAAGTGGAAGCGATTTTGGACATCTTCCTGAACTGAACTTTGTTATATCATTGGAACTCGCTGTTTTGCCGTATATTCTGAACTCTATTTTTTGTTGGACTTCTTGCATTTATTATTATTTTACTTTCTACAAGCGTACGCTGCATTGGCGACGGTCTCACATGAGTAGTTTGTTAGGTTAGGTTAGGTCCAATTTATAAGTCCCTATTTGTAATCCCCATCATTGCCCAATAAATCATTATTAAGTATATAACTAGAAAAGGTTCCTCTTGTTTTATTTGTGGCCATATATTTAAACATCTACCAACTGAGCCTGCGCGTAACTGGAACCCGAGGCCCCCACGACGAATTTAAGTGACGGATTCGCTTACTTCAAGTAGTGGTCACCCGCTACATATATATACATGCCCAATGTG